ACTATCAGCCATTCAGACAGGGAATGGCCAAGATATTTCACAAACCCACACTATTTAAGAATAACATTGACAATTTGAGATCTACACCACCATCTACACAGGATGCTATAGTGTTGTAAGTGTGAAGTTGATCAGAAGGCTCAAATTATTGTACAGAAACTGAAATCAGACATGGTTCACATAACTGATCATATTATAATAATGGGGAAGCACTAAACCCGTAGGATTATACAGCGCCTGTGGGGGGATTATTATTATAATCAAGGGGGAAGCGCTAAACCCGGAGGATTATACAGCTGTGGGGGGGGGGGATGGAAGGTATTCAGGCTTAATTCAGGGAACTGGAGCACAGATCCAATTCCCTAGATCAAGAGCCCCTCACCAATGTCAAGGAACTTCCCTTGAGGGGATAATTGATCAGAGGTCACCTGCATGTACCTAGTAACAATACACCAATGCTGAAAAAATTAAGCCAATTAAGTGAGGCATTTTCAGGTTATAAATGAAAACTCTGAAGAAAAAAAATGGAAATACACCTAATGAGTATTATTATAATAAAAAAGAAGCGCTAAGCCACAAGGGCTATACAGCACCTAGTGAGTAGTTTCCATATTATTATTATTATTATTATAATCAAAGGGGAAGCGCTAAACCCGTAGGATTATACAGCGCCCATGGGGGGGGGGATGTGGAAGGCATTCAGGCTTAATTCGGGGAACTGGAGCACAGTTCCAAGTCCCTAAATCAAGAGCCCCTCACCAACATCAAGGAACCTCCCATGAGGGGTTCCATATTATTATTACAATCAGAACTAAGTACTAAACCCACAAGGGTCATGCAGTGCTGGCATTTTCCATATAACTATTTATAGGGAAGCACTAACCTTGTAGGGGGTCATTCAGTGCCTGGAAGGATTGAAGAAAATCAGGTTTGATCCAATTCTTTGGATCAAGCGCCCATTTGAAGGGCTCTGCCCTTTACAAATGTTTGGAGGACACAACAGTGACAAGAGTATTTTAACAAGGGGCACGATTTTAATGCAGTTATACTGCAAAGTGAGATGTACAAGATTATAAACAAAACTAAGCACTAAACCCACGAGGGTCATACAGCTCTGTATGAGGTGGGGTAGGGGTTGTTCTCAAAAGGGTTGAATGAAGGGGGTAAAGGTTTTGTGGGTTAGGGTCTTGGACTTACAGCAAGTGTGCGTGAGCATGTTAGATAGAAGTGAAGGGTGACGAATGGTTTTTGGGACCTGGTGAGCTGTTGGAGTGTAAGCAGGGTAATATTTTGTGAAGGGATACAAGGAAACTGGTTAGCCAAACTTGAGTCCTGGAAATGGGAAGTACAATGCCTGCACTTTAAAGAAGGGGTTTGGGATATTGAGTTTGGAGGGACATCTAAACTGTCGTATCTGAGAGCTTCTGCAAAGACAGTGATTATGTATGAGTGATGGTGAAAGTGTTGAATGATGATGAAAGTATTTTTTCTTTTTGGGTCACCCTGCCTTGGTGGGAAACAGCCGTGTTAAAAAAAAAGGCATCCATGAAGAGGCCCATTAAACCTACAGGGGGAATGGGAAGGAACAAGGTTCAATCCAAGGAAGGGGAGATCAGATTCAACACCTTTGATAAACAGCCCTTCAACATCAGGACCTCCATTGAGGGGTGAACAGCTTTTTACTAATTTGTACTGTTTTTGTTAGATTTTTTTCTTATTTTACATTAGAACATTTGTAGTTGATTATTCTGTATAGCCCTTGTGGCTTAGCATTCTTTTGATTTGTAGTTGATTACTGAGTGTTTTTGTGGTAGTGTACATCACATTTTCTGAAGTAGTGATCAATGATCACTGGGTCTCACTGCTTGACAAATCACAATTTTTTTCTTCTTAACAGCAGTAAATTAGTAAGCAGATTCTCTGAACAAAAAGAGGAAGATGGGCAAAACAAAAGCTGAATTCTAGGTGCCTCAGAGGAGCCGTGCTAAGTTTTTGGGGTGCAAGATGAAAAGCATTTGATTCTGCATACTATAATAATAAAACAAACACTGAACCCACATGAGTCACACAGTGCTGCAATAGATTGTGCACAACTTTCAGAATTAGAATACTAGCAGGCCTGGCTGCCCTGGCAGATCATTATGCACTATAGTCAAAACTGCATCAAAGGGTAGAGGATAGCTATTAACAGGGAAAAAAGGTCTTTTGGGAGAGGTACATAAATTCATAACAGCTTTCCATCCCCCACCACCACAGAGGCACTGACCCAGCAGTTAATGGTAAGGTTGGTAAGGTAAATGCAAGGTACCATTAGAGGACTTCCTAGTAACTACAGGTTACTATGAGGTCCTAGGCCAGTCATTTGCAGCTGAAGCCATATATGTGGCTGGCTGATTCAGTGAGGACAGTACTAAGCCTTTTCCTTCATCCACGTACCAAAGATGCATGTTGCCTGATATGTCAGAGCTCTAAAGAAAGGCTAGACATTAAGGTAAGCATAGCCAAGCCCACTCTTGGCTCTGAAAGCATTAGTCAGTGTGACCTGAGGCATCAACAGACTGTAATCTCCCACCGTGCAAAGGTACCTGCCCTCGGTGGAAACTAAGCCTATGAAGCTTCTCTTGAAAAATTAAATTACACACAAGTTTTTTCCAAAAAAAAAATGGCTCTGCATATTTTTGAATGGTGCAATTTCTTTACATAAGTTAATACGAATTGATACCAAAGTATAAACCCAATTTTTGTTTTCTTTTTTTTAATGTTTATTTTCACTTTCTCATTCAAAAATTTCATATAAACTAGTTACCACAAACATAAGAAATTAAACAAAACTTGTTATATTTGTTTTCTCAAGTGATTTACAAGTCTGATTACCACATTTAAATTTTTTACTTTAAATGGAATTACACTAAAAAAATTTACATCTTTTTTATACAGACATTAATATAAAATTACATGAAGCTTTCAAATTTTTTTTTTCTTAAATTAAAATTTTCAATGTAATAACTCATAATAACCTACTTCAGTGAAGCTTTTTATTGGGTTCAAAACTGAAAATTTTTTTTAAATATTACTTAGTTTCAGGCACTCAACACTACTTTTAGAATTTTCCATGTACATGAATTACAGTTAGGGTCAATAAAAACCAAAAAAATGAAAATTTAACCAAGTTTAGTTGACGGCACATATTATAACACCAGAGCTATCTGTGTATTGAAATTAAAAGGCAAGTTAGAAAAGCTTCAAAAAATTACTAATAATAAATAACACGACCCCTACTAAATACATGAGACATTAATAACACCAATGCTACACTTTTTTTTCCTGGTCATAAAAATGGCTGCAGTTGGACAAGAGAAAACTGAAGTAAAGCATTTGTTTATTGACCGAGTCTGACTCTTAAACCCCATACGAATAATTTTATTAAAAAAAATTTTCTTTAAATAATGTTTTAAAAATCCTATATTAACAACTGGGATGAATTGTGCTGCTTTTACGGGTATTAAAAAAAAAAAAAAAAACTCACTAAAAGTTTTTTTTAATAAAAGAGACCATCCAAATTTAATGCCTGCTCACAGATAACTTGGGGGGCACGAACATCTATGGAAAATTGAAGTATTGGTGGTGCAAACCCAGACACTATAGAGTACACAGGTAGAAACAGGGTAGTAATGAGCACTAACTATTCAAATTTTTTAAAACAAACTTTTTAAATTACCACTGGGGAATTTAAGAAGTTTTCCCAAATTTAAAAGTTTCTTTCACCATTCACAATGAAATTATTTTATCAATAAGCCCGGGCACTCTCTGTAACATTTTTAAAAAATTAAAAATCCCCAA